GGAAAAAAATATTTTTGGACTGTCCCTGTTCTCTTTTCCCATTTTTCTGCTCTTTAAACTGGGTTATGGAATAGTATGGATTTATGTGCTCTTGTAGATGACATGCTTTACCCATGGCAACTGCAATAAAATAATCCTAGCCAGTTTTGTTCATGAGTAGTACCCATGGGTAAAAGGCTCCTAGGGCAGGAGCTTGTCTGCATTTCCTCTGCACTTGTCAAGCTATTGGGAGAGAAGGTGGGTATGGAGGTGGGAGAGAAGGTGTAGGAGAGAGTTTCTCATTCTGTTAACATGTATCTGTCAAAGGAAGATCATAATATACAAGGACAGTATCTTCGGTGATAAATGCTATAGGATGATGGCTGGATTGCCATATATCCACCCACACAAACAAGCATGTGAAACTTGTGTTGATAGTCGCCTTCTAATCTGGGTTGCCTGTTTTAGCAAACAGTAAAATCTCATTTCCTTTGTAATGTTATATATTAATTGTGCTGCATTATATGACTACCTGCTAATGCTGCTCTAAAAACAGCAGTTCCTTTGTTGTTAACAAGATTTACTATAATGTAATTAGAATGGGAGAGGCTAGGACATAATCAAACACAAATATAATATTGTGGTTAATTGCATCCAGATAATTGTGTCTGATGCTGATGTTTTACCTTTCTGTGAGCAACATCCTGTTAGTCCTCTGTTTTGGAAGTGCTGCAGCTGACTGAAATGCCATGTAAATGTATGATATGATTCCCTTGGACTTGGAGGCTTGAGCATTTTCAGGGTTATGATGCAGTCTATCTTCAGACTGCAAAATAGCTCAGAGGTGTGAATGACCATCATTCACCTGAAGGGGCATAACTGAAGCCTGCAGATGACAGTTCCAATGTCAGTGTTGTTAACTAACTCATGCGTGATGGTTTTAGCAGAAACACCCAGCTACAGCAGCAACCAGGGGTCTAGGCAGGACCTGAGCAGAGTGCCACCACACCTACCTTCCCCCAGATCTCACTTTTACCTGAGCCCTTTAGGACATAAATAAAAGAAACCTGCCTCATAAACCACCCTCCTACCTGGAATCCTTCATCCAAAATAAACTGCAGGTGTTTGCTGTTACCTCACTTTTCATGCCGGCCTGGGTTTGCATTGGCATCAGATTTTTAAAGTACAGTTTCTGAAACTACGTGACCAATGCCATCACCAGTAATTAGATATCCAGGTTGTAGCTGTATTGGTCTAGAGGCAAAAGGAATCAGAACTCGTGATAGAGGTGTTATTGTTTATTAGACCAACTAGATCTTTTGCAAAAAAAAATCTTTAATTGCAAGCTTTCAGGCACAAACACCCTTCTTCAGGCATAGGAGAGAAGATTGTAAAAATTCTCCTGGGTAGAAATGAAATTCATATTTCATAGGAAAGTTGAAGGCATGGTAACATCTTCTGTTTGGAACAGTTAATTTTATATGCAGATTAGGCTCAGTAGTTGTTTTTCTAAGGTACTTCTTCTACCTCTTCTCTAAATCCCCCAAACAAATCCTCTTATCTTGATTTCCTAAATTTCACTTGTTTGTTGCTGAAATTGTTTGGCTTCTGTTACTTTTTTCTGAGGTACTTTTATTTTTATTGACCCATTAATGCTTCCCAGGTACTTATGCTCAAGTACAGTCCTGTGTTCCTGTGTGGGAAATGCAGCAAGACTTTCAAGTCCCAGTGCCTCCGTCACCTCAGAAGCTAGTGACAAGCTCCATAGCCTAGGACAACCTTGAGGCATTCATGACAGTTGGTTATTTGGGGATCCCATTAGCACAGGGGTGGGCAAAATACAGCCTGCGAGTCAGATGCAGCCCGCCAGACCATCCCATCCGGCCCGCAGAGCCCTTAAAAAAATTTGAAAATTAATATTTATCTGCCCCTGGCTGCCTGTCATGCGGCCCTTGATGGCTTGCCAAAACTCAGTAAGTGGCCCTCTGCCTAAAATAATTGACCACCCCTGCATTAGCAGCTCTTTTACAGCCTGATCATGTCACAAAGCATCAGGGAGAGGGGATACCTTGCAAATGTCCGGAAAGCAAGGAGGTACTTCATAGGGCATTGCACATTGTGGCACTCCCTTATGGGGCAGATGTGAGGGTCCAAGGTCTTGAAACTGTCAGCGTGAAATTTGACTGGTTAGTCTGTTGCCCTCTTTTGTTGTGTGAGTGCTTAAGGTATGAATGAGGGTTGGGAACAAAAGAAGGGGTTGTCTGCAGGACCACTGCTTCATTTGCTGCAAAATTTGAATGAGGCAAGGAGTTGCAGAAAGAGAAAGGAGGGTCTTCCAGTTATGGAAGTTCTTTGATGCACTGAATAACTGGAATTTGTCTGCTTACTCTAGAGCAGTAGAAGCCAACCTATTTGCAGGGATATATGTTGTAGCCATGTTGGTCTAAGGATGAGGTTCTTTGGGTAAATCTGATATCTTTTATTAAACCTGCTCAGATAGTTTGAAAAATTCTTCTATATAAGCTTTTGGGTATAAATACCCTTCGTCAGGCTGAGGAAGCATCTGCGGTTAGTGTGTCCTCTACCTGGATGGAATGAAATGTCAGAGGCTGCAATGCATGCAAGAAAACCAGTTAGTGAAGATGTAACCTTTTTTCCAGGCATGCCACCAATTAAACCCCACCTCCTCTCCGAGTTCCATTCCGTTTCCTTTCCCCTCCTTGATCCACTGCTCTGCTTTCTGTTCCCTGTGCTGTGTGCTCTGTCTGCTTTTGTGCTGCCTGTTCCCTCCCCAGTCTGCTGCATGCCACACACAAAGGCTACCTGTGGCATGCATACCGCAGGTTGGCTACCCCTGTAGTAGAGTTCTGTGTGATGCTGGTTAAGTCACTTAAACCCAGCTTTTCAGAGGTCAGCACTAATAATGAACTTTTCATTTTCTCTAAGAACCTAGAGTCCAAGAAGCAGAAGCATATCAAAGCACTCATGGCTCCAAAAGAACTTAATAGCACCTGTGCTTTGAAAATGTGGTGGCTGACATAGTGCTAAGGGGTCTGGCATATGAAGTCCCAGGTGTCTCAAAAATGTGGCACCTGAAAGTAGTAGATATTCTTGACTTTAATCTCTGGTTCAGTTTATACTCTCTGATGCCCCCTGGCATCAAGATGGTGTAAAAATAAATTCATTAATGTTTGTGAAGCACTTGGGGACTATGATGATGAATGTCCCAGAAAAGCCCATGTGAAAATGAATAATTCCATAGTCAGCCCAGGGGCAGAATAGTTTGCAGTAAGGAAGGCATGGGCCATGTGTTGAACAATGAGCTGAAAAGAAATTATTAAACAGCTGCACAGTGAGCAAGTACCATCCCTTGTGTGCACAGATCTCGGCAAAGGGTCTGCGAAAAAAGACTATCATATTGCATAATCTCAGGAGGGCCAAGATAAGGTTATGTGTCAACCTCAGTTTTGGTATTTTCTTAACTTTGGGCTGCTTTGTTTTGTAACCTTAGTAATACCCCATATGATGCAGTGTGTATACACATTATGCAGCTGCAGAAGCAGCTTCTAGGAGCAGGCTATGCATAGCAACTTTATGAATTAATGACAAGTAGAAGATATGCTGCTAACTGCTGATGCCAGGGATTTTGTTGTCTCACCAGGAGTCAGAAAACCAATGCCTCCTTGTCCTGCGTGAATGCAAGGTAGGCCAGGCACATTCAAAATCAAGGTGATAATTTACATTTTTACTATAAAACCAACTGTTGCTGTGTAAAGGAGCAGGAGTAAATACTTTGCTCCTTTGTGCTGGAGCTTTCAGTTTTGCGTTCCTGTTCCTAGCTGGGATTTCTGTTAGATAGATGATCTCTGTAAATGAAAGAATCATTTTTTACTTGCAGTGCATGCAACTGCTCAAAACTAGGCAGAGAAAGAAGACTAGTTTCTTGGGTCTGTAGCATTAGCGTAGGCATTCACAAAGAAGTTATATTGTGGAAACAGCACTTCAGTAGTGATTCCACATATCCTAATGCTTCCTCCTTCTGTATCAGGGCAGATTAGAACAGAGCTGTCATACGGAGCTCTGTGTAAGAAAGCTGAAGCTACATGGATACTCCCAGGTCTCTCCTTGCAGCCCACCAGCTGTGCAGAAGACAGATGCACAGATTCTCCTTCTTTCCTCTCCCTATGCCCAAGAAATAAAGGTAGAAGTGCATCAGTAGAAGCCGCGGACAGCTAATATTACTTTAAACAGCATTAAATAGCATTAATTCCCTAGGATAATTTGTGACTTTACCTCTGAGGGGTTGAAGATTAGCAGTGCCTACCAGCTGACCACAGAACGGCTGTTGGCCTGACCATCCTAACATAGTTGCTCGGGGGATTTTTCTTGTCTTTGCTAACAGCCACAGCATACAGCAGCTGTGAATAAATGACTCCACAAGATGTCAAAGGATTTTGAAGTCCCCAAATAACATACTTCATAACTGCTAAGCATAGCATTCAGATTTCTGATTTTTTCAGTAGGTTCTTAAACTGACTCAGATTTAGGATTGGGAGATAAAACTGATCCAACTGAACCACAGCAGAACTGAGGTAGTAGCTTGATCTAAATCAAACTCATCTCTGTGTTTTTAGTGTTCTGCCAGCTGTTGATTTAGCCTTTTACTTTCCATCTGCAGTGTGATTTATGTGACATTTCTTTTAGCAAGCAAGTATACTTTCCATTATCATTATATAGACTATGGAAGCCAAATATTTAGAGTGGTGCAAAAAGATGCGGTATTAGGATAGTAGTGTTCATAATGGTCGTTAGTGCTATGCAGAGCTACAGTAAGGGCAGAAACTGAAGTGTGATTAATTTTGTAACTATTGGCATTAATTGTATGATGATTTCTGCGAAAGGTAGCTGTTAATCTAGTACTTCCTGAATTTGCTGTCCATTTTTCCATATTTTAAAATGTATCTGTTTCACTACCTCAAAATATTTGATAAAAATATTATTGTTATCTTTGATCTCTCTAGATGGATATGGCAGAAGAAGATATTAATGGAGATGAATACCCAGCTGAAATTCAGGATTATCTCTCAGCATTTGAAAAATCTCTTGGTTGTGTAGATGAGATGCTGAAGACTATGATGTCAGTTTCTCGGAGTGAACTTCTTCAGAAGGTAGAGTCCCTTTCCAACCATTTCTTTTTTTCATTTGTAACATGATGGCATTTAGGAAACACTGTTGAAGTGCAGGGTCCCATTGTGCTAAGCCTTGTATAGGCTGATAACCAAGCAGACAATTTCTGCTTCAGGCACCTTGTGTTTGAAGTAATATTTTACATTTATAGAAAACGTCTCATCTTAGAGTACTTCACAAGCTAAGCACTGAGTTACCTCTGAGTTGAAATATGGCAACCAACCACCATTCAGCATTGGTGGTTCTTTAGGCCAAAGACATCTCTGCCCTTTGGAAAAGTGCCTTGGGATCTTTCATATTCTCTGGAGCAGAAAAGGGTTCTTTCTTCACAGTCTGTCTAACAAATCTGCATGTAGTAAATTTCAAGGCACTCCATTTGTGCATCTAGGAGGGATGAAAAGGAAAGCAGGTGGTGGTGGGATTTGAACTTTTGGTTCATAGGTATACTGATTAGCCCACTAAACTGTTGCCTCCAGCTATGTTAAAAGCAGGTTGAAGGCAGCCTATAAAACTTACTTTTTTCAGGCTATAGAGACAGGGCAGGCTATTGCCTGAGGACTTTGTCAAGCATCTATATATTTTAGCATTTAAACTCAAGTTGTAATTTCTTTCTTTGGGGCAAGAAAAAACTCATGTAAAAAGGAACTTCTTCAGCCTCTAAGGGTTTCTCTGTAAATAAATTATGAAGAAAACATCTTGACAACACCAGTCCTTTGATAGTATCCATGTTAGAGCTGGTGAGCCATACAACAATGTTATCAGAGTTTCTGGGAATCCTATAGGACTAAAACAATAAATTGACTTTGACAGTCAAGAAAAAAATCTCATTACACGTCTTGTTCCTTTTGGTGTATGGCCATCATATACTGAACACACAGAGTAACATGTACAGTGTTGTATTCATGAATTCTGTGGCATACTAAACTTACTTTAGAACTTTAAAAAGATTTAAAGAACTTGTTTTTTGTGGGGAGGGAGGAGTAGGAAGAGTAAAGTTATTTTGAGAAAAATCTAGGTGACCAAATACAGGCTTTATCCTGAGAAGTGGGAGTAGCAGGATTGCTAACCACTTGTCAGCATTTGGTTCCATAACATTTTATCAGCCTGTGTCATTTAATACAGAATGGAAAAAAAACGTGAATACATTTAAATCAGGGAATAACCTTGCGCAGACAGAGAGAAGGGGATTAAAGCACATGGTCTGCAGACAGTACTTGTACTGATGTAACTGCTTCAGGCACAGGTTTTATACTGAAATAGTCAAATTGGTACAATCTTTACTGTGGAGGTAGTTTGAAGTATAAAGCGTCTTATACCAGTATAGTTAATTTTTTCCCACTTTTAGGGGGACAAGCTATGCTGGCAAAGTTTGCATCTTCATTAATGGGGACATACTCTATCCCCCAAGCTCTTTTAAGCATATACAGCCCATGAAAGATTGTTTGCAGTTTCTTTGATAACTCTTCACTATTGCCCTAACTAGCAACGTACATGTCCTATTGGTTCTGTACAAAAATATATTCTCATGGAATTATAAAAATAATTGTGTATATTTCTGAAATCCATTGTGCACTTCGGAAAAAGAAACCATGCAGGAGCAAATTGTGGTAGTTATATTTTCTTTTTTAGTTGGATCCTCTTGAACAAGCAAAACTGGATTTGGTTTCTGCATACACGTTAAATTCGATGTTCTGGGGTGAGTATAAGGCAGCAGGGTTATGTTGTAGAAGGAGACTATTGTGGGCATTTTAACACTTTCTAGGTAGCTGCATGTTTTAAATAATAATGTATTACACAGTCATCTACCTGTCTAGTATTTTGCAGTTACTCTGTTCCCAAGTTTATTGCTATCCTCAGATCAGGGCAAGGACTGCTGAAATTCTACATGAAAATTAATTACATAGCTCCATGTATGTAAATGAGGGCTTAAGTCTTTTTTCTTTTTTGCCAACTTCTTCCATCTTTTTTCATAGCTATAAAATGTCAACCATGTTTATATTGTTACTGGAAGAGTCAATTAGAGTATTTTAAATCAAACCCTTAAACAGTATAGTTGGGCTCCCGCCCTGCAAATAGCCATGAGTGAGAGCAGCCATTCACCTGTGTGCTATCAGCTGCACAATTGGAATCATAATTATTTGACTAAATAACATTTGACTAAATAACATTTGACTAAACACATTTGTTTCTTGTAGTATATCTGGCCACTCAAGGGATCAATCCCAAGGACCATCCAGTGAAACAGGAGCTGGTAAGATACTTAAACCATCTGTACTGCAAAATTCTATTTGCCTAGGTCCAGTAATTCTTACATAATTAAACATAAATGAACTTAAAAAAATTGATACAAGTTGTCATGCATGTATTTATTGTATGGATGTTGTTATACAACTGCCTGTTTATATACCCTGTAGAGCTTTCTAAATTAAGAGTCATGATAATTTTAGCTCAAAACAGTGTTGCTTGTTGAAAGCAAAGTTGTAGAGCTTGCTCAAATTGAAAAAGCAGAACTAGATACATGGTGTCAACTTATCTTTCCTTTTTTCCACCTTTGTTTGGAAAATTGGACTCCAAGCAGACCAGCTTTTTCACCTATATCTTTTGTATGGAAAAATGTTACATGTCTAATTGTAATTTATAACTTCCAGTACGGTGTTTTTTCCTATAAATACTTGGAATCATGTTAATCTCCGAGGGTGCCTTTTCTTGCTCTTGTATGACTCTAAAAGTATGGTGTGGTTGATTTACTAGCAAAGACGGGAAAGATTTCTCCCCCTTTTCCAATTCCTCCATTAATTCATTTTCTCAGCAGTAAAGAATCCAGTTCAGCAACAAAGCTAAAAGCTTTTTTGGCACCAGTTGTATGTGTACTGTCCAGTAATTCTGCATTAGTGACATATTTACAACCTATAATAAATCTTTTAGGTTTGTCTTTATATTCCATTTAGATGCACGAGAACAGTATATAAGATCTGCTATCTTGGAAATTCTGCTGACTTAAAAAATCAAATCAAATAATTTAACTTGAAGAAAAATAAAAATCAAAACTCATCATTACTGTTTTTAATTGCATGTATAAATAAGAACTGCATTACATCTACAAATAGTAATATACTTTATATATACTATTACTATTACAGTACATCTAAAAGTAATTCTTATATAATCAAGGTTAATAGTATGTATAGAGTGCATTGAGTATAGAAAAGTATAGAATCTACTCTCAATAGCAAATGATCATATTCTGTATTAATTTGGTTTTGTAACATGGAGCACATCATGAAAAAACTAATCCAACTTTTGGTGGCAAAATGGCTACTTTCTGTACCCTCCAATACTGTGCTGCTGCAACAGGGTTGCATTGTTTTAAATGATCTAGTCTCTCAACATACAGCATAAAATATAAAGCAGAATGCATTGTTTTACTTGATATTTGTTGATGAGTAAGAGAGCATAACTATCCTTGTATAGACACTCATCTAGTTCTCTCTCTTACATGCATCAGTGTGAATGAATAAATGTTGCTTCTCTCCAAGAGATGTTGATGTTATTATCATCCACGTGGAAAGGGTATAAAAATAGTCACTCTTACTTTTTTGGTGTACGTGCAGAAGGATTCAAGTGGTAGGGCGTGTGAAGCTTCGGTCCCTGATTTGATTTGGCGGAGATTCGGCCCGATTCAGTGGCTGAATCTCTGAATCTGAATCAAATCAGGAGACCCTTAAATTTCTCCAAGTCAAATCGGAACCCTCTGGAGAGATTTGGAAGGATTTGGTGATTTGGACATAGACACAGCTTTAAATGTTTTTTTCTACATACCTCAAGATGCCAGGGGGCTCATGAATGCTGCGATACTGGGGTGGATGGAACATCTCACAGGAGAGTGTGGGGCTTCCCAGCGCACTTGGCAGCAGACCCGGAAGTGGACCAGAAGCACATCCCGTCCACATCCAGGTCTGCCAGGGAGCATGCTGGGGGCCCCCCATGCCTCCTTGGCTTGGCGACTGGTGCCTCCTGGGTCTGGGGGGGCACCCAGGGTCCTCCTACAGCCAATTGCTGCAGGGGAGGCCCTGTGCGCTCCCCGGCGGCCCCGGAAGTGGACCAGAAGTACTTCCAGTCCACTTCTGGGTTCACCGTGAAGTGCGCAGGGGAGCCCTCCCACGCTCCCAGCATTGCAGCGTTCACGAGCTGCGCCTGGTACTTTGAGGTATGTCGAAAAAACGTTTAAAGCTGTGTCTATGGCTGAATCACTGATTATCCAAATCAGTATCGAATCTTCAGATTCGCATTTGGCTGAATTGAATCGGGGACAGTGATCTGAATCAAGGAATCAAATCACTGTCCCTGATTTGGGCTGAATCCGAATCAAATACGGCCAATTTTGCACACCCCTATCAAATGGTACTAGTGAAAGTTATTAGAGTTTGTTTCTTTTTATCTTCTTGCTGAGATGTTTATCAGTTCCTTTTCCCCGTGCTCAAATGTGTAGGGTTGCCTTCCATTCCTCTTAATAATTTTGGTTGTGTCAGAGAAGTGATATACCTTACTAGGATTTCTTATCTAGTCCAGATTAACTAGTTAAAGATTAAATTCTTTTTTATATGTAAATGGTGGCAAGTGTTTTGCGAAACGCTTCGAGATGTGGATCCTAAACATACTAGAAAAACAAGTCTGATAAATTAATTAATTGACATCACATAGAATCAGAAAAAATTAGGGTTGGCAGGGACCTCAGGAGGTTGTCTAGTCCAACCCCCTATTCAAAGCAGCAGTCCCCAGCTGTGTCATCCCAGCCATGGCTTTGTCTAGCCGGGTCTTAAGAACTCCCAACGATGGAGATTCAGCAACTTCTCTGGGTAACCTGTTCCAGTACTTTACTACCCTCCTAGTGAAAGTTATTTTTCCTAGTATCTAACTTAAACATTCCTTGCTGCAACTTGAGACCATTGCTTCTTGTTCTGTCATCTGCCACCACTGAGAACAGTTCAGCTCCATCCTCTTCGGAATCACTTTTCAGGTAGTTGAAGGCTGCTGTTAAATCCCCCTGCTGTTTTCTCTTCTCCAGACTAAATAGCCCTAGTTCCCTCAGCCTCTTCTCAGAAGTCATGTGCCACAGCCCCCTAACCTTTTTTCATTGCCCTCTGCTGAACTTTCTTCAACTTTTCCATATCCTTTCTGTAGTGGGGGCCCAAAACTGGGCACAGTACTCTAGATGTGGCCTAAACAGTGCCAAATAAAGAGGAATAATCGCTTCCCTTGATTTGCTCCTACTTATGCAGCCCAATATGCCTTACAGTATACATACACACACATTATATGTAAGTATATATACATTAATATATACTGGCAAATGTAAAATATAAATGCCAATATACACTGGCAAGTTGAGAGCAGGGTGCCCAACAGTCAACAGATTGTCAGCTGGGCTGTACTGGGACTCAGACTGGCTCCTTTATGGTCTCTGGTTGTGTCAGAGAAGTGATATATCACTCAGAGAAGTGATATATCAGCTCATTGTTGGCTTGATCAGGATTGCACTAGGGCTACAAGCAGCTGGGGTGTGATCCCTGGAGCCGGTTGATGATCAGCTGATTGTCAGCTGGTAAGAACTTTACTGGGGCCAGTTTGATTCCTGGTGCAGTGCTGATTGTTGGCTGGCACATACCACAGTAGGGATGGTTCAAGCCCTGGTGCAGTCGTAGATCTGGCTGTCAGTCAGCTGATTGTCACTCGGCAAGGACTGTACCAGGGCTAGTTGGACACTTCCGTGCAGTCCTAACCTTGCCACACGTTCAATTTAAGGCGTGATGAAAATGAGCTACAGAAATAGTACACATTTTTATATGATATTTTGGTGGCTGCTTTCCCTTTTTGTGGCACTCTTAATTGCCTGAATGTGTAGTTGGAGTGCTGTTTAAGACAATTAAAAGATTAATCACATCTTAACTGTAAAATCTGCCAGGGGCAATCACAAAAAAATTAGTCTTGTTTTAATCTAAGGTCAAACAAGAAGCCTGCAGTACGGGTAGAAATTGAACCAGATCCTCTGAAAAATAGTTGATTCTTGTATCTTATGTGTTTGTATAAAACATATGTCACAAATAAAAACAATCATATGCTTTTAAGCAAAATGTAATGCCCTTTTCCTTTAATAAATGTAATATAGGAGTATATTATATATAGGAATATATAATTAATGTGCACATGACTTAAGTTTGCACTCTATGTGGGGAAAAGTGATGAGTTCTCTTGCAGGGTGGGATTTATCTTTGTAAGGACTTGCTGTGAAGGTCCATAAGCTGTCATGCTGTTGGACAAGAATGTGCGAACATCAAGATATTACATGTGCTTACTAGGAGATGTTTGAAATTGTCAGGTCTGCCACCATAGGTACTCTGGTATGGCAACTTTACATTGCAGAAAACCTACTAAAGCAGTGTCTCCAGTTTGCAAAGAATCTACCAGAAAATGAACAGAATTGAAATATTTTATTCAGCTATATGTTACTATGGTAATATACAATGTTTCTTATCTGGTGCAGTGTTATTCTCACTGGTTTTTATTTTATTGGTGCACAACTTAACAAAATGATATTCAATGTGCTTTATATTTTGGTATCTTTTAGGAGAGAATAAGAACATATATGAACAGGGTTAAAGAACTAACAGACAAGAAAAAAGCATCCAAACTAGATAAAGGAGCTGCTGCTAGGTTTGTAAGAAACGCATTATGGGAATCCGCATCTGAAAAGGAGCCTGCATCCAAAATTTCCAATAAGGCAAAAAAGAGAAAAATGGACTAGTTTTTTATCTTTCTTCTTGTTTTATTTATCAGGTATGGTATCAACTAGAACATTATTTTAAAAAGTGTTTTGGATATTTTTGTGGTACAAAAATAATGTCTTGTAACAACAGTTTGATCAAATAAGCTGTAGTGAGGACCTGTACTGCATGTAGGGCAGTGCTTTGGCCTGCGGAGCCTGTATTGGGGTCAATATACATGTATAGCTGAATGTGAAATTTGATGTTGGCTTATTAGCTTTAGGCTTATTTCTCCACATGAAAATAAACTTAGTATTTTTGACAAGTTTTATGTAGTATCATTTTGTGTATTTTGTTTGCTTTTCTTAAATATTTTTTCCATTGTAATTCTGAAAGATTGGAACCATTTAATTTTTGATGTGTTACTGTCTGCTGAGTATTCAGTCTTGAAGAGTGGGGTGTCAGTGTAACTCTGTTGTTTATGTAGGAGCCACTGGCTTTTCAGTACATCTGCATATGAAAAGCTAAATTTTGTTTAATGTCCAGTGTAATATATATACATATCTCCTTTTCCATCTCAGCTGAATAAATACCATATATATATGTCCTATATGTCTCCATTGCTTTTAAGTACAGATGAGAGCTTTAGTGCTGTACTATGAGATGGACAGATTGTCAGCAATACCCTTGAGAATGGCAAGAATTTGGACACTTTTTTCTTATTTACTCAGAGTCTAGGTGGGGAAAGTATTCTCTATTACAATAAAAGTATTTGACATACTGTGCAAAACTAACAAACAAACTGCCAGTTCTGTTTAATCTAAGGAGAGGGTATATTCTTAATATCTTGGATAATTGGTTCAGAAGACCTTCACTAGTTCATTTTTGAGTAAACTGCAAATTCATTAATTACTGCATATATGTGTGTGCGCGCACGTGCATGTGTGCATACACATGCTGAAAGATAGTGGCATTGCCAAGTCAAGTCAATCCTGAAGGTGCTGCGATTGTTGGGGCACCTTAGATACCGTAACAACCCTCCTGGTTTAGTTGAGTTGTTTTGCATCATTGGCGATCCTTCAGGCAGAGTAACCTGGTGGCGCCCATCTCCTTTCCAGGTATGGATGACCATTGGCTTGCAGGGAGCTCATCTGTCCTTTGACAGGTACTGTATTGCTTTTAGTCCTGCTGGGTGTACACACACCCTCCTCACCCAGGTCGGGGTACCGGTTTAGTCACCAACAACCTGACCATGGAAGAGGCTGTACTGGTTTACATGGTACCAGATAGCCGACCAAGAGAGGCTTGGCCTGACAAGGGGTATTGTCAAGCGTGGAGTATAAATGCATATAATAAAGACCTGCAAGGTAAGAGTGCTGCATCAGTGATGGGGCCCACATATGTGAAGTAATGCAACCTGTTTGCTCATGGAGAATATCATATCAAATACAATCAGTGCTATTGACTGATGCCTGGTAAATGTTATAGCCATTAAAACTTAAATCTTGAAATTTAATGTTACAGGCATTGGGGCTTGCCTCCTTGGAGTGATGTTGATTAATATGGGTTTTATTGAGATTACAAAGGCTCTTCCACTTGTTGCAAATTGCGGGATTAAGGCTTCGTGGTGGTGCAGAGTGAAAAATTTAAAATCAGAAATGGGGTAGAATTTTCCACAGATGTAAACCACAACACAAGATGCATTGGAAGGGTGAATTGGGCTCATTATCTGAAAATAACAACATGTGATTCACATCCTCTTATCTGTTAATGTGAAAGACCAAGATTATACTGAACTACTAATTTAGACCTGTGGCATGCTGGAATTCTTTATTATATATGTGAGCTACAGAATATAAATTAGAAAGTTACTGTCCATGTAATTTTTTGGAATAACTGTACCACAAAGTGCTTTCATAGAATGTTACACTGATTAGAATGAGGTGGTGTAACTGAGGCTCTATTATGCCTGACCATTCAAAAAGTATTTTCAAATGTTTTCATAAAATGCCATGTTTTCACTAGACACAAATGTATTTATTTTATACATTTAGAAAATGCCTCAGTGAATGCTGTGATTGAAGCCCAGGCCTAATTAAATATGTAATATCTCTTATACTTGCAGGAATAACTGTTGATCTTTGTTCCAACAAAGGTCTTTCTCCTGCAAACCATTATGCATAGCTGTACCTTTGCTGTCCCATGTTGTCTCACTCAGTTACTTGTGGCTGCTCACATGCACGATAGTGCATACATGTTTTGTCAGGTCAGGGTCAGAACAAGGATGCTACATTTCCTATGCATAAATAAATATATTTATGAATAATGTAACAGAGTGAAGAAAGAAACCCTGTTACTTGTTGTCTGAAGGGAGGACCATGGAACTCTTTTTCCTGAAAGTGGGGAAAAGAGGGTCACATGGAAAGGGAAAGGTTGATAGCTGATCGGACCCAGCTGACAAGTATCTACGCACTAGGTGGAAATAAAGGAGATGAAAGCGGCCGCCACGTTAAAAGGCAGGCATCTAGAGGAAGAGTCTTGCCCTCAGGGCACTAGAAGGGAGAAGGAGTTCATGGCGGACAACAAGACGAAACTGGACCATGTAAGCCCGGGGAACTGTGAATTTGCTGCCGACTGGTGAGTGGCAGGGTACTTACCCGAGGGGTTGCAGATGGCAAGGGCTGCTGAAGACTGGTCTGGGGAACCTGTAAGGAGAGAGTTGGAGAAGAAATTAAAAGGGCAGCGGGGGAGGGAATCGCTAGTAATTCAGCTGAGCAGTGAGGAAACCGTATCTCAGTTAATGAGCAACAAGCGTGGCTCGTTAAGACTTTGTAACCATGGTTCAATAAATGAAATACACTGTTAACAGTCAACCGGGTGGTCAGTGATACCACACCACACTTAGGGAATAATTTTTGTTGTACACAGAGCAGATAGTTAAATCAGTTTCAGGGCAATTAATCGACTCGTAGGCAAATAGTTGGTGGCAATGTATGTGTCCTAGGATAGCTGATGTAGCATTATTATACATGTATTAGAATATGAGATGCTTTTGTGGGTCTGTAATATTTGTGAAGGCTGGACTTTGTTATGGGGGTCTTTTGGGCACTAAGGCTTGTGATTTATCTATAAGAGTATCAGATCTGCAGAAGTTCATTTTTCTACAAATTGTTTGTAAGGAAGCATTGCTGAAGAGTAGAGATAAAGACACCGTGTATTTTCAGACAGCCCTTCCTCTTGGAATTCAAGATGATAAAACTACTTTCCATTCATAGCATCCAGGGTCTCAAATGCTTTATGAACAGTTAAGCTTCAAAACAAGTGGTCAGCAATATGCACTGGATGTGAAATGACTTACTCAAATTTATACAGTTATTTTAACAACTGAGGAAAGAACGGCATGCCAGTCAAGGATTCTGGGGCCCATGTACTATAAGATGAAGAGTATTTTGGTCCTCTTTACGCAGCACAGTTTCTTGGGGAGGAAAATGTGGGGGTTAAAGTAAAAGAAATCTTAACCTATCTCCTGTCTAGAAGCAGGATTAGGAAAGCTTGCGGATTCTTGCTGTAGCAGCTCTGATTGCCCCTATGGTGTTTGATTGGGAATAGCCTACTGTTCGTGGAAACTGTCCATTCAAACTTGGCCAAAACATGTGGGTTCTAAAAGAGGGAGTGAGCTTAGGAGGCTATGAAGTCCCGTTGCACCTTCTTTCATGACCCTCCATGTTGCATATGCAGCAGAAACCCAGTATTTGCATGACAAGCGGAGGGTGTTAGATTCTGCTTCCCTGTTGCTCCAAGTGAACACCAGTACTTCTCCACTGACTGTGAAATTTGTTTATGCCAGTGAAATGTAGCCTGTGCCTCAGGTTTGCTCCTTTTGTCTTCTTCTGTCTTCTTTGCTGGAGGCAACTCAACTATCATGTTAAGCAATCCAAATAAGTCTATCACTACTAGAAGGTTAAGAACTCATTTGTAATAATTAATGGATTGTGGTACTAATGAACTATTTCTACAAAAATGCTAAGCATGTAGTAGAAGCCTGGTGGATTGGGAGGTTTGAGCATGCTCAGGGGTTAATATAAAGCAGTAATTTAATGCTAAGCTGTTCCTAAATGCTGCAAATTTCAGATGAGTTTAATTAATTTTAAGTGTGGGGAAAGAGATGTTTCATCTGTTAATTTACTGTGCTGTAATTACTTCTCTTCCACCGCAAGCTGCCATGATTGACAGGGTCTATGCCAAATAATTTTAGCAGTTAACGCAGAGTTAGCTTCCATCTGTCAGAACAGGTCTTTCCTGAATGAGTGATTGTAGAATTTTAAAAGAGAGCAGACAGCGAAACCTGCCTCTTGTTACTGTCCAAGGCAAAGCGGAAACCTTTCAATAAGTAACCTATGGAATAAAATAATATTTTGATGTGAAATCAAATATTAGGAATTCTTTGTTACATTAACTATACTTAAATGCTTTTGCTAACTTGCCTACAATCTCCAGTTGCCACTTACAGTAATTATAAATGAAATGGCTTAATCTTGATATATATATATAGGTCTCTTCTTCATTTCTAATATGAGGATTATTGGATGTAAATTTCACTTATTAATTTAAACCATAGAATGGTTTCCTGGCCTCAGTGGAGTCAAAAGAAATTCATACTTCATCTTATCATAACAATCATAATTGTAAACACTATGTGATTTTCTCATCTGTGTTTTGGGGGGGTTGTAGTTTATTATTATTACTATTGCTACTAATAATATACTGTCTTTACTATCATGCTATTTACTTTAAGTGGTGTTATTATGTGAAGATTATATTAGTTAACATAGATATCAACAGATTATGTTATCAACTGACAGGGTCCTTGTAATTGTTTCTTGAGAATATATTTTTATGCACTGGAATCTTAGAAGGGTACCATTTATTGATCTATGGTAAAATTCTGCATGTATGTAGACTTGCACTTCAGGCTGATCAATACATGATTTATTTCTGCATACACCTAATTTTTCTTTGTCACAGAGCTTTTGTGTATGTATTTTGAAGTTACTGAACCAGGAGTAGCATTAGTATTTCTTTTATGTCAGATTAGGTTGTGTTTTAATGAAATACGTTTTTCTCTTATGCATGCTAGCAGTTAGGAGCTTGACCTATATGATGGCAATGTAAAATATAGGATGCTTTTATTTAGGCATTTTCTTGCTTTTAATCGTTTGTGTTATTAAGGTGATGTAGCTGTTACAGTTGCTTAGTTTCTACGTAGTAAACTAAGTTTTTTATATGAAATTGTTTGTATTTTAGAAGGTTTTAAAAAATCTTCTCTTTTTTTCTTTCTTTTTTATAGATAGGTAGAGATGCACCTTTCTAGAGTTCACGCTAATGAGCTCGATGGGCTTATTAATAATTAAAATAGTGAGTGACAATAAAGCCCTGCTTTCTTTGCTATTCACCTGATGTCGTAATATGTTCATTCACTATCAAAAGCCCTGATTCAAAGCTCATGAACTCAATGGGGGACCTTCCTTTGGCAATCGTGGCCTTTCGATCAAGCTTTAAATTCACTAGCTGCAGCGCATAATATGGAGACCTAGCACTTAGAAAATTA